TGTTAAGTGAATCAATGCAGTTAAGTTAGTAACATGGTTGTTAAGTGAATCTGGCTTCCCCCATTGACTTTGCTTGTCAGAAGGTTGCAAAAGGTGATTGCATAACCCCGGGACACTGCAAGGGTCATAAATATGAACCAGTAGCCAAGTGTCTGAATTTTGATAACGTGACCATGGGGATGCTGCAACAGTTGTAAGTCACTTTTTTTCAGTGCTGTTGTAACTCTGAACAGTCACTAAACAAACTGTTGTAAGTCAATATCTGTAGTAATGAAATCTGACCTTTCTTAGCTTTTTGGATCAGCTAAGAATGCTGCCCCATTTCTGCAGATATTCCTTCCTATCTCCATTTTAAAGGCACAAAGTATAAATTTAGCTTTCTTGCCTAAAACTGACTACAGCTAAGGAGAGGTTGCACAAATAACTTGATGGAAGCAGGGGGTACAGATTTTGTACAATAAAGGTATATAACTGAGGTTTCTTCTAACCTCCCATGGCCTTGACATGGCTCTTAAAGTTCTTCTAGTATAGAAAATTATTAAATACCTTGGGAATGATTATATTCATATTTAATTTTACCATTCGTGCAATTTATATTTCAATGAAATACAATAAAATTGCGCATTTTTATTCTAGCTTTGGAAATGTGACCAAATCTTAACCCTAAAAAAGTCACATGCTCCTACTAGTAACTATTATAGTAGCTGCTATAGAGATATAGCTCTTATATGACTCGTCACTGTGGGCTTGAATCAGCACACTTTAGGGGCTCACCCATCACACTGACTCATACCAAAAACTAAAGTCTGAGACACAAGAAAAAAAAAAATACTAGAAATAAAATAGCCTTTCCCATTTATTGGGCTGAGAGCCATAACTGCAGGAAGTTGTGTCAATACAACTGGAAGACAAATCAAACATAAAACATCAATTAGCAAAACCAAAAAGAACTAGACAGACTTTTGGGGAATTTTCTGCCATTCATAAACAAATGATTTCACTCCCAAGAACATCACCAGAGGGAAAAATAGTTAACTGTGGATTAACCAGTTTTCTGAGCTATAAGGGAGGAAGTGTCAACTCATCACTAGATCTGCCAGATGATTACTTGTAAAGATATGCACACACAGATACACACACACGCACACACATATGCACACATACACATACACCCCAGTGCAGTGTTTTTCAACAATTTCAAGACATGTGGACTGCAACTTCCAAAATTCCCCAGTTAGCACATCTTAAAGTTGTGAAGGTTGAAAAACACTGCATTAGGGTGATGGGAAATTACAGTGCTCAAAAGAGAAAGGGATAAAATTTGATTTTCCGGACAATGGAAAGTCAGAAATAGGTGTATTCTAAACTATCAAGAACATTTTTTTTAAATGAGCATTTTGCTTCTAGAGACATGGTTACAAATATAGCAAATGGAGTTGTCAGTTATTGCAGTATTATCAAATTTATGTGCCCCTTATCTCATGGTTCAAGGTGGCTCTGAGAAGCTTAAACGAAAGAAAAGATAGTGACATTTAGGATAAGATAGGACACTGGTGATAATAATTTAGGATATTTGGGAAAGTAGGAATTGTCCTAGGTGCAACATATAATGTGTCAGGGATAGATTAGCATGGAGAATATCTATGTAGTTGCTAGGATTTGAAAACGACTTGATGGCACATAATCAAACCAACAAACCAACAAACCAATCAACATCACGCAAAATATGATTCAATATTTGGAATGATCAGATAAATCAAAATGTTCATTCAATTAATTGAATTAATTAATAACTCTTATAATCAAGAGCTATTTCAGTATTTGGGGTTTCACCCTATTAGAAACAGAAACAAGTGGAGAAAAAAATGGAGCTACAAACAAAAATGGAAGACTGTTGCAAGCTTAAATGAACAATCTATATTCCAATTTTCCAAATCTTAAAAGGAACTGAGTATTATGGAAATCATTTAGTCTGTGAATATGAGAAGAATTGTGATCTTAAAAATGAATGGATTTGGAATTCTATACTACACAAGATTCTCTCCTGAATAAGACAGAATAAGACAGACCTATGTTTGATTAAACGTTTTTGTGAATTTGAGTTGACCCCATTACTTTTATGAGGTGGTAGCCTCAGTTAGATAGGATGAGTAAAGGAAAAAGAATTATGAACAGTTTAACTACTTTGTTACCCTGTCCTTCTCATTTTCTCCTTATAAAAGCAATTTGAAGTTTGCTTAGCTAAAAGATTATAACTGAATTGACCCTTTATAATAAGCCATGACATGGATTTGGTCAGTCTGCAGCATATAACCATGCTTTATAGTTAGCATGTTGGGCAAATCCAATCAATTATGATTTGTTTAATAAATCATCGTGGTATAAACTACAGTATGCTATAGAGTATCGTATGAGCCAGATAAATACATCACTCAAAAAATTGACTGGACGAGGACATTACACATTCATTAATTAAGAGATGTGATTCTTTCTTGGGATGATTCAACCAAGGCTCCTATTCTTTGTCCCATTGTAGTGTTTAAATAGCATAGTGATGTTTTCTTTAAAAGAAAAATTGAAATCTCAGCTCCTATAGATGATTGACAATCTTTTTGCATTTGAACCTTTCATGGATGGTCTCACATTTCCTTTGGGCTCCATGTTTGCATTTTTACTTACAGCACTTAAATATTTTATGCCACCTTTTAAAACCAAGGCCCTCAGAACCATTTTAAATGCATAAATACATGTGGCCATTAAAAGCCATCTAATATCATTGTGCAGTTAAAAGCAGGAAAGATTATCCAGCTCTCTAAAATCCAGGTGGAAATAGTCAGAAAGGAATTTCCAACAGAAGAGCATTCAATAAGGATGCAACTACCATAGAAAAGGCCATATCCCTTGCAACTAAATAATAAACTAGACTCTAGAACAGGGGTGGGCAACCTCGGCTCTTTTATGACTCGTGGACTTCAACTCCCAGAATTCTCCATGGAAGACCTCAAGGCCTGCACTGATTTGTACAGTGACAAGCAATCCTTTAAATAAATTGGCTGCAAGTCTTTTAGAGTCTGGCCAGCAGACCTTTAAACTGGACCTCTAGAATGATCAGGCTGCTAGTTTATGCTGGCCCATTGCCAATCTCTAGCCAGCAAACAGATGGGTTACATTCTTCATTGGCTGAAGCATCTGCACCATCTTAAAAGGAAGCATTGGATGGAAGAAATAAAAAGTGATTTAATCTGACCATAATCGAGGCAAAAAACAGTAAGAGAAGGTTTCTCCAAAAGGGAATGCCAGTGGCAAAGGATTCCCATTTTTCTAGCTGCCCTTCTACAGGTAACAGCATCTCCGTGTATAGGAGAATCTCAAAATACACATCTTGTCTTTCAAGAGTGCACCACCTTCAAATTCAGTCCCACATCTCCATCCAGACTTGCATATTGTCCTACACACCACACCTGGATCGACAAGGAGGTCCCTGTAAATTCTTTGCTTTCATTCATTTTTCTCTTTTGGTTCTCCTGCATGACTGCTAATTGGGGTAACTGAGGCAATGCCAAAAAGCAAATGCTTTACTAAGACTTTAAATCCAGCCGTAAAAGTATTTTAGCATATTAGTTATTCTAATCAGAGTTCAGATGGGAAAGAAAATGAATTATCTCTCTCTGGATAGAACATGCTGGTTAGAGGGCAAGAATTAAAGTGTCTTAAAGGATCATGTTAAATTAAAGATTAAACATTGGTGGAAGACAGCTCATCAGTAAACCATGAAAGTTATCTGCCTAGAAAGGTCATCATGCCATGATAATCTTTTCCCTCCTTCTGTCTCGAAAAGGAAAAAAGAACTTGAGCAGCCCTTTTAAGGGAGCATCTTGGTGTAGAATATGAAAAAATGGGGTAAATTATAGGAGTTGAGAAGGTTTAAATGCAGATCTGGATTTTAGTTACTATTCCTTATATGCCTTTCTCATTCTTGACTGCTTCAAGGAAGCTTAAAGGAACCATGCAAGGTAGGCTAGGTAAAAAAAGTGGAGGCCTGTGTCAAAAATGCACCCAATCTCACTGCACATTAAACAAAATTTAAAGGAGTGATTTACAACTGGGACCCTATGGGGCCCCTGCTGCCCTAGGATATTTCAAGGGGGCCACAGATGAAAAATTAACAGGTGGATCAGGACACATCTGAGGTCACAGAAAAGCAAAGTGAATTATAATTGTGCCTGCTAGATGTCAGAAAATGCACCAGTTACTACCCCATGTCTGCATTTGGCATTGGGATCTGGATGGAGGGGCACAGGAGAAAAACAAAGTCGGAAAGGGGGGAAAAAGGTGGAGAAACTCTGATTTCAAAGGAGCAGGTGTGAACTGGAATTTCAGTTCACTTAGAACCATTTGCTCCAGCGAAGGAACGTCGGTCTTTACAAAGCCTCTCAATACACTAAACGGGATACTGGAAGAGGTGGGCTTCAAAAGAGTCCAAAGCTAAAGCTATAAGTCAAGATGCAATAGCACAACGAACGTGTGCACAGCCGCCCAGGATACACACCTGCACGTGGGGCTGCTGGGGAGCAGAGGCTGAGCTGCTCCGGACTTTCCCCGCATTGGGAATGCGCCTCAGCCTGCGGAAAACCCTTCCCGCCTCGCCCGTTCAGCCAGCCCCTTTTGCTCCAAAATCGCATCTGGCTCGAAAGAACGAGAGGGATGGTTGGGTGCTCTGCACTCGCTCAGAGGCAACTTTTTTCCTTCTCGCATTCACATCTCTCAGTCCCCTTCATTTGGTTTCAGGGTTTTTCTCAAGCTCCTACGTCCTCTCTAAGCCGGGCGCGACCACCCCTCAGCGGAAGGACGCCGCGTCCGGCAAGAACCAGGGTTCCACATCCATTACCAGCCTCGGTAGGGAAGAAGGGGAGGCAGACCGAGTTCTCGCCGGATCCAGATCGATTGGCGCTGGGTCTGGAGCCCGGCGGCGGGTAAAGCCACCCGAACAAAGGACCTACCTTTCCCAGCAGACGGTCCACTCCGCAAAGCCTTCGCTCGGTTGCCAGAGGAGCGATCGCCGCAGCTCACCTGCCAGCCTCCGGGCTGAAGCAATCGGCGGCAGCACCTACCCGCCCACCGCCCCTTCCAGGCGAAGCCAACCCGCCTTCGCCCCGCCGCTTCCCAACGTGCTCCTGCCTGCAACAGACGCGGCAGAGCGCTCCCACGAGCCTCCAATCCGCAGCCCAGGGCGCCTGAGCCGGGCTCTCGCGCTTCCTCCTCCCCCCCCCGCCCGCCCTCCTCCTCCAGGGACAGCTCCTGTGACAGACGGCCCGATTGGCAGATGGCACAGCAGCTCCTCGGATTCTCATTGGATTGGACAATTGCCCTCCCGGGCTCGGATCGCCATTGGAGGATCTTTGGAAATGCCGCCGCCTCCGCCGCCGCTGAATCGCGGCGTTGCTGCCTGCCAAGCAGAAAAGTTGCGGAGGGAGTATCGTGTGCCCGGGGTTGCCGGCCGAGAGAAGTGGCTAAGATGAGGGAACCCTCCCCTCCCCAAAATCACCGCTCTTTCCCTTTTGGGCTGATCTCACCTTCTGCAGTTGTGATTTATACGGGCGTGCACGTGTGTGATTTTTCACGTTGTGCGAAATCATCCGTTTGATTAGTCTCTGGTGTATTTCTTGATTTGATCTGTTACTCCCTTACAACCCAGATCATCAGATTTAATTTATTGAAATTCCATCTTTTTTTAAAAATAAACAACTCAAGGCTAGCAGTAACCTAGCGTTTGATAGATTCATAAAAGAAAGGAAAATGGGAATAATTGAGTGATCAGGTCAAGCTTTTAGAGGAATGGAGGTGTATGCCTCCCTCTTTTTCTGTGGCACACAGGCTGTGTTTACATTAGGTGCTAAGACACAATGTAGTTCTCTTGTTTGTGACTTAGCAGGTTGTGTCAAGCCTACAGACTAAATATAGCAAAACTCACCACCCTTGCTTGACATACTATCCCAACTGCACTGAATACATTTTGCCCCAGTCCATGCAGTTGTTTAAATTAGGTTAATTTGATAAACCATGGTAACTATGAATAAATATGCATGTTGTGCAAACACAGTCTTAGATTTTCTGTAAAGAACTATAGTGTGATGGGAGTTATTTTTATATTTATTTTTATGCATTTTTACTTGCAAGTTCTGGGCTATGTCCTTTCCACACAACTAGTTCTGATGTGCTCTAGGCATTCTTGAATTATCAGAAAGCTACTGTCAGACCTGCCTCAGTCTGATCTCCTAGGAAAGAAAAACTCTCGACTCCATTTGTTTAAAGCGAAAAGGCACTTTTACTAAGAGATGCTGATTGCAGTAGAGTCAAGTAGAATCTAAGGTTCCTGTGCATCAAAACAAAACTAACCCCTTGGTTACCCCAGTCCTCCCCCCATAGTCCATCCGTGTGCAACAAATTTGGCACCACCAAGATGTTTTGAGAAGCCCTGAGGTGTTTTGGGTGGTGAAATTCCACTCAGGATAAGCAGCCTTGAAGATGCCGACATGGACCGGATTCCAAAACGCTCTGTTCTTTCTCAATTGTCAATCCCCCCTCCCAATTTCCCATCATAAAGATATGCAGCTTTATTGCCTATTTGTTCCTTCCTCCCTGCCCTGGTTAATGGCAGAATGCCAGCAAAGTGCCAAGCTGAAAGGTGGATCTGACAGCTACCATCATCATGGAATTCACCTCACTTTCAGTCACTGCCGACATTATCCCTCCAAGATAATGGAGAATAAAACCTGATAGTTTTGCATCTGTGACAGCCACTCTGGGATAGGGTTGACATAAGAGAGAAGATATTACAGGTAGTCCTCAATTTATGACCACAATTGAGCCCAAAATTTCTTTTGCTAAGAAACAGAGACAGTTGTGAAGTGAGTTTTGCCCCATTTTACAACCTTACTTGCTGCAGTTACTAAGTGAATCACTGCAGTTGTTAAATTAGTATCATGGTTGTTAAGTGAATTTGGCTTCCCCATTGACTTTGCTTGTCAAAAAATCAGGAAAGGGGACTGCCAACTGCAATCATCATAAATATGAGTCAGTTGCTGAGCATTTGAATTTTGATCACATGACCACAGGGATGCTGCAACAGTTGTAAGTGTGAAAAAAGATCATAAGTCACTTTTTTCAGTATTGTTGTAACTTTGAATGGTCACTAAATGACTACCTGTACTTCAACACTAGTACAGCTAAAAACCTAACTTGTCTTACTCCTTGGCTGGCATATCATGGGCACATGGCAGAAAAAAAAATGCTGCCAAGGCATATTTGTGCCTATGGTTACATGCAAACAGAGAAAGGCCCTGTGCCTCAGGTAAACACAAAGTGGTTTTCTGTGACATGTGAAGTAGGCCACAGAAAATTGTCTGTCTGGGGTAAGAGGCAAAGGTATAACTCAGTGGCAAAGACATAGTTTGAATGCCAAAAGTTTCAGGTCCAAGATCTGGGATTTTGGGGTAATACCAGAAAAAGCCCTTGCACAAAGTATCTACAGCCAGAGAATGTTTGGTGTCGGAGATTCTCTCTCCCTATCCATCCATCCATCCATCCATCCATCCATCCAATTTATGTAACTGTCCATCTCACCAAACAAATGACTCTTGTTATTATATGGTTTTATTATATTATATGGTTTATTTGTTTGTTTATTGCAGACATGTCAAACACAAGGCCCGGGGACCGGATGCGGCCCGCAAAGTGGTTTCATGTGGCCTGCAAAGCCATCCTGGAAACAGTGAGGGAACGGCCCCCTTTGCCAGCGGGGAGCCAATGTACAATTTTGTGGTGGCCATCTATACTGAAATGCATTCAGTCTTAGTTTCATAAGCCCCCCCCCCCGCATGGCCTGAGAGGATCAGTGAGGCTCCTCCAGTGGACCATGCCTTGGCACTTGCCCTGGTCCCACCCCCTGCTGCCAGAGACCCTCAGATCTATCCCACTCCTGCCCAGGCCCCCACAGGCACCCTTGACATGAACGACGTAGAGCTGGCCACTCCCACCCAGCAGGCCACACCTACTCCATCCACGCCCACCCAGTAGGCCGCACCCACCCTGGCCATACCCACCCAGCCCCCTGAGGGCAACCACAATGCTGATGCGTCCCTCAATGAAATTGAGTTTGACACCCCTGGTTTATTGTTATAACATGTTACGTAAAATTCAGAGCTTTGTTTGTTAACCACTATTTAAGGTTTATTGTCTTATGTGCATCCAGCTCTTGCAAGGCACACAATTCACATCTTCCTTCCTTTGTCCCATACCTTTGAAAAAGGTTCTACATTCCTGACATTTTAGAGAAGAACAATCTACAACAGTGTTTCTCAACCTGGCTGTGGAATTCTGGGAGTTGAAGTCCACATGCCTTAAAATTGTCAAGGTTGAGAAACACTGATCTACAACAACAAAAAGGTTTACTTGCACGTATTTAAAACCAAAGAAATGTACAGTTTCATAGCCTAAACTTTCTGGTTATATCATTATATGAACCCCATCATAGCTGGATTCTAGTACGTGTTACATCATAGCTGGATTCTAGTATGTGTTACAAAGATCTCTTTCCTGCACACGGGAGAGGGTTGAACTTGAGGATCCTTTGGATGAACTAATTGACCCTTGTCATGGCACGGGTGATGTAATGGAATATGTGAATGACCTTGGGCAGGGGTAGGCAACCTTGGCTCTTTTATGACTCGTGAACTTCAACTCCCAGAATTCCTGGCTCAGAAATTCTGGGAGTTGAAGTCTACAAGTCATAAAAGAGCCAAGGTTGCCTACCCCTGACCTTGGGGAAGGAGGAGAAGATACGTTTATGGAGATTCTCAGTCATCCAAGTCATGGTTGTCCCAGAGGTGCTTTTCAAAAGGCAACTGGTCTTTTGGGGTTTTTTTTCCTTGAAAATGTTTCACTTCTCATCCAAGAAGCTTCTTCAGTTCTGACTGAATGGTGGGGAATGGAAGGATTTATATTCTTTGCAGTCATCTGGTCATGGTGATTGAGGAGGTTTGTCTGTAACCTCAGGGTCAGAATGCAAATGGGTGTGGAACCTTCTTGGGACTGCTGAAAGGACTGTGCTGTAGACAGGTGGTGTTTTATCCCTCTCCCTCTGTTGAGAGAGGGCTGTTCAATTTAAACATAGATGGCCTCTTTCACCCCTCTTTCAAACCAGTGGTCCTTCCTGTTCAGAATGTGAACTTTGCTATCTTAGAAAGAGTGACCGTCATCTTTCAGTTGCAGATAGACTGCTGAATCTTGTCCTGGTGGACTTGTTCTCCTGTGTTGTGCTATGTGTTTGTGAAGTGGTTGTTTTGTTTCCCCAAATCTAATTCTGCTTTGTTAATGCAGAGGCTGCCAAGTTTGAGAAACACGGATCAAAATGTTTTCAAAATGTAAACAAACAAGCAAATAATGTTCCAAAAGACCATCAGGCTGGTGAGAGCTGTTTTACATATTGAACTTTCATATCACATTGCAGCATTATTAAGGATATATAGTCTGAAACAGCTTTCCCTGATCTGGTATTCTCCCAGAGTGCTGTAATGTAACACACACACACCGCCCCCAATGGTCATGCTGGCTGGGGATGATGGGAGCTTTAATCCATCACAGCAACAGTGTGCTATATTAAGGAAAATAAATGGTCTGAAAAATTAATTACATTCCTTCCTATCCTTAAAAGGTGGAGGTAAGAGGAACAAATGGTATATATCCTCCCACATCTTACAGCTAGAAGTGCTGGCATGTTTATAATTTTCGTCCCCTTAGGTAGGTCAAGGCTGTACATTTTTTTCTTACATATGTCACATGCTGAATTTGTCAACTGCAATTATTTTTCTTGCAACTCTTCTAAAATAATGCGTAGTAGTGAATTGCTCATAAAAGCTTCCTTGATCTGTGTTGTCTTATCTTCTCACACCTTGTCATTTATTAGGCTTAAAAATTCACATCACCCACAATGATACAGAGAAAGAATCTGATTTTGAAGGAATTTCCTGCCAGCATCGTGATTCCAAGCTGGCTAACCAGAGGAAAAGCCCTAGCAGAAAATCCACAGTAGCTTTCTGGGGTTTGTGTTTCACAGCAACTTGTGTGCTGCAGCACCAGTAGATTGCAACATACCCACAGCAGCTCTAGATATCTACAGAAAAGCAGAATTAAACATTTTGAGGTGTTTTTTTTTTTAAAGAAAATAAGCCTCTCAGAAATTGG